ATATACTGGTACTGGTTATACAAAATACAATATCACATTTTAATTTACAAATTTTATTTTATAATTATAAATCTAGTAATAATAATTATAATAATAATAGGTTTTTAATTATTCGAAAAATTTCAAAATGAAAATTATACAACGCTTCCATTATCGTTTTTAAAATCTCTTCCAATCATTGATCATTGATTATTCCAATACGTTTTAAAGATAATTATATTAACAATCAAGAGAATTATCTCTTAAAGTTAATATATCTTTAAAACGTTACTTAAAATATTACTTGCAATTAAACAAGTGAGATAAACAGTTATTATAAAATCGATACGGAAAATAAATCGTCGAGTTTCAAGCGAACGATCACATCGTAGTTTACGCTCGTAGTCTAGTTCGCGATATGTAACAATACAGTGTATTCATTTTTATATCTCGATATCCGATTAAATAGCTTGCATAAAGCGGTTTTGGAACATCCTTGAAACCGGTTCTTAATGGATCCCTCTTCGTATGGTATGTGCATAGCGATCATTTCACGTCACGTCCGTCCGAAGTGGAAAAAGAAGATAATTCAGTTGCTTCATTAATAAATATAAAAATGCATAACATCTAAAAAGATGATTTAATTTATATTATTATTAATAAATCTATACACAGATATACATAAATCAATATAAATATTGTATATTATATTTTATAGTATAATTTTGTAAGATAAGCGTTTATAAATGAAATAAATCTTTAATCATAAATACAACTTCTCACGACGTGTTATGAAATGTTTTTTTGAATTATTTATTCTATTCACGAGTTAACTGAAGGACAGCCTATATGCATTATATAATTACAAGTTCCATAATTTTAGATTGCGACGTGTATTACATTAATACTAAGTTCACTGAGGCCCTTCTGGCCTTCCCATGTGATTAGTTTAGTTAATTTTCTCTGTTAAGGGCTTAAATCGATCCCCCCTGAGGCGTTGGTACATTTAAGATATTACCACCTATGTCATTAGACAGAAATTAAACTAAACACACAATCTGTTGATATCAAGCTGAAATGTTATAAGCAAAATTCAGAAGTTCGGAAACTCCTCTCTGCCTAACTTGAAATATTGCAAATTATACATCCAAGGAAGAAGAGTTTGGAGTAGACGAAACAAGATCTGATCTAATAAATTTTCAACATCTCCCTCTCTACCTCTCGGTTTACCGTGTAATAAACGTTACAAGTTTTATTGCATTCGATATTAATCCCGCGCAATACAAATTATGTATAACAACGTAATATGAGAAAGTTCGTCGTGACTTTATAAACTAAAATATTACGTATTTTGCTGAATCTGATGAACGTAAAGGTATTATATAGCCAATTATCATGTCGCGTTTTAGCCTCGTGTTACAATGTCATTCACATTAGAAACTAAACCGATCTCGGAAAAATGAATACGACATTCCAAGTGCAAATAACGCAAGTTGTAATTGATATACTTCCACATTCGATTTCGAGTTTCAAGAGAAGTTATTCGCGTAGTTTGAATTATTGCGGGGCTTCGAGCTTTCTGTGACGGATAACAAGGTAGGGGCTTAGCTTTCATAGCTGTCTATTGTGCGAGCAGACTTTCTTAATGACATTACCTGGCGCATTGCGTCAATGTGATATTGGTGGACTTTCAAGTACTTCGATGACTCTCTCATTGAAGCACGGCCAATGGAACTCAAACCTGATTATCTGAATGAAAAGAATCGTAAAGCTTTCATTTCTTTAAAAATTCTTTCTCTCTCCCTTACCGGATTAAAAAATATTCACCTATGTGGATTTATTTCAAGATTTCGCTATAATTACTTAAAAAGATATTAAATATTAATTCTACATCTTCAAATTTTTTTATATTATTAGAATTTTTTTGAAAACTTATAATTTTAAAATTCCCTAAGAAAGGAACGATTCTATCAAATCTATTAAAGCTCTAAAAATAATCAATTTGATAAAGTTATTGCATTATCTCGACGAAAGATTAAAGTTAAATTTATTGAGCTATATTATCGAGATTATTATCGCATAAATTTTGGCAATATACCTCAAATAGTTAGGTAATTAATATTTAATAATATTAATGTGACTAAAAGTTCATTCAAATATACGAAAATATTAAATATACATGGCGTCTGTTTTCTATATTTAACGACAAATTTAAGTCGATTTAGGTCGTCAGTAAATTGATTTAAAATTAGTGATAAATCTGAACGTTAGTACTTTCTATCTTTAATACTAGAAAAGTTAACTAGCACTCCAGTGAGGTAATTTGAGCATGTTCAAAATCTGCTTTATCCGCAAACATCTGTTTCGTGGAGCGCAGTTTCCGCGTTACAATAGCGAAACAATAGGAAGTAGCTTGGCACTTCGACTGCAGACATGCAATTCATCACTCCGTCACAAGACTTTTATGACGTGGTCACGAAGTAATGTCCCACCTTGACAATATTAACGTACCGCAGTATCGATTTATCAGCAAACTGCATGTAACGTTGTTAATAATGCCGGCGATATCACCCGACTATTAGAGTGGCGATTAAAAAAATATTTGCGATTAAATTTTACTGCGTTTGTGAACCGGAAATACTTTCTTTTTATTATTATTAATAACCATATTTATTATTATTAATAACCATAAAATGTTTCATCGGGATTCCTTGGGAACGTAAAACTGATGATTTCCAGAGAAGAAAAACAGTAATGTAGAGGTAGAAATTAAATGAAGAATACATTATATCCAGTATTACATTACTTATAACTGTATAACGTTATCATAATTCCGTTCTCTCTCTAGAAAATAATAAATTTTTAAATACTTGAGATTCCTGAGTTATTACTTAGTTTTTACATCTTATAATTTCTTCTTTTCTTTGCAAAAAATTTAAATATGTTGCGAAACTTTATATAGATAGATTGTATTAATTAATATTGTAACAACATTAATCAAACATTATGTTTTATTATTACGTTAATAAGTAATAATACAGAAATAGATGGTACAGTAATAGAAATTCATCGTTGCCAAATACTTCATTTTTAATTAGCATTAGATTTCTCTTTCCATTATTCCTTTCAATATTCTTATAAGATTGCTTCAGCTAGATTGCAACTACTTCTCTAACAGTTTATGAAATATGTTATTATATAGAATGTATATATATATATATATATATATATATATATATATTATTATTATTATATTTTTTAAATTTTAATTAATTACTTGTCACACACACACACACACACGCACGCACGCACGCACGCACACACACACACACACACACACACAAGCAATACTTGTGCCTTTTTTATGATAGAAAGTTTGTGCAATGCAGGGAATGTCGTTGTTGTTCTTTGAATCGCACGTAGTCATTCGACATTATTACTCTCATTTCCCGCTCGTTATCGTGATGAAAGTGAATTATTTAGCAGCCGCTAATTAATTAGTACCATCGGAAGAGCACGGCTGCCTCATCGCGATATAATTTCCCAGGCCGCATGGCCTCGCTGACTGCGTGGGATAATTACTCGCGGATCTGTATTTCCGTCGCGTCTTCGAAACACTTTGCTATTATAATCGTGTCATTTTTTTCTGTCGCGATTACAGCGAGGTATCGACTGAAACCGTGGCAGTACCGTGGTGGTACCGGAGGTAAAAGTTAAGCACGTAGGAGTTTGTTTCGCAAAAGGGGATAACGCATCGTAACGTCAAAAGACGGTTTTGCGGTTTACTCCAAGTTTTGCGAAAATTCATTAACCTGATTAATTCATTTCTGGTTGACCTCGAACGATAAGCAAAATACCGGTCGATGTGGCAAAAAAATAAGTTTTCCTCGTATGTACATAATGTATTCATTCCTGATAATCCCATGATTACTTTCTTTTTCTTTTTCTTTTTTTTTTTTTTCTTGTTCGAACTCCAGGTCATCGGCGTTACAATCGATGCAATTGTGACGTAGACAACGGATAACGATTTACATGCGATGAAAGCGTACCGATATACGGAAATAGGTATGCGAATTCATCGCCGAGCATTATCAGATCCGCCGGACATAAATGCGCACACACGTGTCGAGTCGCGTGTCATTATTTGTAGGAATATCGGCGTGAAACTTGCGCATCGGACAACTGGATCGAAATGGAACGTCCCGTTTAAAAGTGCCGTTCTCTTCGCGATCGATATATACTTGTATTGTACAAATTAGTCATATGCTAAGTGTCGCAAAGCGCTCCAATTGTCCTCCGCTGACATATGCTCTTTTCGCTCGCGCAGTCTCGTATTTCCGTTTGCGTAATCATCATAGCATATGCAAAATCGAAAGACCTTCAAAAAAGCTTGGCACGAAATAATCCGCGAGAGCATCGTTGCTATTAATCGTTGTTACTGGACAATGTTAAAATTAATTTTATGTTATGCTATGATAAAAATTCAAGTGATTCATTATGACATTCATTATTACAAGAATATATATAAAAATAATATAAAATATATATATATATATAAATAATAAAATAATAATATATATATATATAAAAATAATAAAAATATATATATCATTATATATAATAAATATATAATTACATATAATAAATAATTATATATAAATAATAAAAATAATTATAAAAATATAAAAATTTACTTCTTTTGCGAATGTTATTTGTAAAAACAATCGATATTTTTATTAGCGAGTTTTCATTCGTCTTTTAGACAAGTCATATCGCTGGTTTCATCTTGACGATACGACCGTACGCGAGGTGAAAAAAAAAAAGTCCAGGCCTCATTCGCAGGGATCGTGATAAGCGTGCGTAAAGCTGAAACAAGCGATCGATCTGTCAAAAGAATTCTGGTTGCATATCTCCCGGGCAGCCTTTTAATACCGACTCGGAAATCCCCGATGCGATTGAAACGCGTACACTCACGCAGCAACAAATCCGTGATGAACCTGTGGCCTCTCTTTCTGTTACAGAGCACTGAAAACCAGTCGACCTCAGTCATGTGATTCCACGAAGACTCGCTCAATTGATAGAACACGGTTGTGAATAATCTCGTTTTAAGTCCTTGAAAAATCCTTATCGCGACGCACGGAGAAGTGGGTGATGAGCTCGTGGTACAAACGGAAGACTGCCGCCGTTGAAAGATGTTCCGCTCCAAGATTCGCATTCACACGTGTCAAGTGATATTGCTGACGTCGCTGGTATGGTTCCTGGTCGACGTCATGGTACTCATGTTCTATTCGGACTGCATCGGAGGGTCCGGATGGGGTTGTTCCGACAACAAGCAGCAGCAGGCGCTTCAGTCCGAGGAGTCGTCTCAGCTACATCCGAAGGGTCAGATCAGGGAACCGCAGGCGATGAAGCAGGATTATAATAATAAGAGGCAATATCCACAGTCGGAGCTGCACTTGTGGCGACCGGCGAAGGTCATCAAGGAGAGCAAGGGCAGCCCCGGCGAGATGGGGGCGGCGGTGCACATCGCGCCGGAGAACGAAGCCAAGCAGCAGGAGCTATTTAAGCTGAATCAGTTCAATCTGATGGCCAGCGATATGATCTCCTTAAACAGATCCCTAAAGGACATTAGACTCGATGGTTGTAAGAATAAAAAATACGCCAAGTATCTTCCAGACACGAGTATAGTAATAGTTTTCCATAATGAGGCGTGGACCACTTTGCTACGGACGGTCTGGTCTGTGATAAACAGGTCTCCCAGATCGCTATTGAAGGAAATCATCCTCGTGGACGACGCGAGCGAGCGTGGTACGTTCTCAGTTTGAGTTTTCGTAGAAACATAACATGCGTGATAAACACCGGTATTTTTACCGCCTGTAATGGTAGCTCGATTCCATCGTAATTTCCATATCGCGTAACAATGAATAATCAATGCAACTACTTTTAAAGAAAAATATAAATAAACATCAATATGGAATCGATTATAAAAATCAAACGCAAGTCTTGGATCGACATAATGGATGAAACTTTATTTTCTAGAGCACCTGAAGCAAGATTTGGAAGATTACATTGTCACGCTACCCGTTCCCACGTATGTGTATCGCACTGAAAAGAGATCGGGCCTGATAAGAGCGAGACTTTTAGGAGCAAAGCATGTCAAAGGACAAGTAATCACGTTTCTAGATGCCCACTGCGAGTGCACCGAGGGTTGGTTGGAACCTTTACTGTCAAGGATCGCGAACGACAGGCACACCGTTGTCTGTCCGATCATAGATGTAATTAGCGATGATACCTTCGAATACATCCCGGCCAGTGACATGACCTGGGGAGGTTTCAATTGGAAATTAAACTTCAGATGGTATTATAGCATTATAACATTATAACGTTATAAGCATCATGAATTTTAATAACATTACGTTCCTATTTTAACCGAAATAGTTGAATATTCCTTGCCTTCAAAAAAAGACACACACGAAGAAAATTTGAGTTGCAAATGTGGAAATCTACATATTTTGCAAGTCATGAATAGTTAGATTGGCATATAGTTAAATCCGCTTGAAATATTAAATCTATCGATCCGTACTGACATACCTATATATTATTGACATAAATTCATTCCTTCGTTAAATTACGGTAGTTTCAATAAATTCAGCAATTTTTGAACTGCCACATTCATAAATTTAATACTTCTCGTTCTAATTCAATTATGTCTACATATAATGATCTGAAATATAATCGATAGCAATTTTTCTCTTTTTCTCCTTCATATGTGTATAATTACGAGCTGTTGAGTTTATAAATTTACGGTACCCGCAATATTCATCGCAAACATACACATATATTGCATTTATTGTTAAATTAAATTTATCTGTAATTAATTTTGAAATTCTGGAACTAATAAAAATAAAATGCGCACACATTGGCACTCAAATCATTAATGCAACACTTTAATGTAATATCTTTTTTCAACTATAATACTAATATTGTTAATTTTATTAACTAAGGTACAGAGTCGCGCAGAGAGAAATGGACAGAAGAAATAGCGATAGAACGGCGCCGCTACGAACACCAACTATGGCTGGTGGATTGTTCTCTATTGATAAGGAATACTTCTATGAGTTGGGCGCGTACGACGAAGGCATGGATATTTGGGGTGGTGAAAATCTTGAAATGAGCTTCCGGGTAAGCCTTTTTTAAGATACAATAAGAAAAATTAACTCGATATGATTATGCATAAAAAATTGTATACAACACGATATATATATATATATATATTCATATATATATATATATATATATATATATGAAGGAAAGAATATCAACATTTTTAAAAAATTGCCGATTTTGTGTTATTTTAATATTCGAATCGCATATAGTTTAGGTATATATTAATTTGTAGAATTTCTTGCAACCTAATTTCGATCATTACGAAAAACAAATTATTTTTAATATGTATTATAATATTTATTAATCACTCGCTTCTTCTATTTTCTATTAAAGAAATTGTAGTAAGTTATTAGGATATTTGACTAAGAGTTTTTAAAAGGTTTTCAAAGGATGTTCTCGCATAAACTTCTGCTGTCATTTGTAAAGTCATAAGTACCTTATAGGTGTGGCAATGTGGCGGAACATTAGAAATCAGTCCGTGCTCACATGTGGGACATGTATTCCGGGACAAGAGTCCTTATACATTCCCTGGCGGTGTCAGCAAGATAGTCCTGCACAATGCGGCCAGGGTGGCCGAAGTCTGGATGGATGAGTGGAGAGATTTTTACTATGCCATGAATCCAGGTTAGATAATTAAGTGTATCGTTTAATTAATTTCTCTGCAATGTTGTTGTACTAAATTGCGCTAAATGATGCCATCGTTATGCACATCAATTATACATATCCCATACATATCATTAGAATTCAAACGTTATCCATCACGAACTTTCATTTCTCACAATTATTAAAATATATGTAAACACATACATGTATATATGATATAATTTAAGAATCAAGAATTGCTGAAAAAAATTAAAATTAAAACATTAATATTAATACATATTTATTTCATCATTCAATATTTAGCTGGTGTTCATATAGCGCTTATGCCAAAAGCAACACCAATGTTATTTAATAAAGAATTTTCAGAAATTGCAACATTATAAGCTAAACACTATATATTATAATATATAAAAAAATAGAGCTACACTTGACGGGTATCTGATAAGTCGTTTATATTTCCTTTTAACTCTCACAAAATTAATATAATATAGCTATGCGAAGTTGTTTTCGAATGCATTTCTTTGTTACAAGTTTGATTAATAATTAATAACATTCTTATGTTACTATACTTTATAAAAAGTTATTTTTAACACGCGTTATCTACACGCGCGCGCGACACACAACAACACACACACACACACACACAACACACACACACACACACACACACACACACACACAATAAATTAGTTAATCGTCTTTTGTATGTGTTATGCACATTACAATTTATATATGTGTATTTACTAATATTTCATATAATACACATCAGTAGAAGTATACGTGATATTGCTAATATATAATACTTAAAATTAAGATCTCTAACTATAGAAATTATTCTCGATACAATATTTGCGATTGTCGTCATTATCTTACCCCACTTTGTTTAATTAATAAACACATCAAGTACATTTCTGTAGAATTAGGGAATAGCCACAGGCACTAAACATAAACAATGAATGAACATTTCAGATATATTTTATTTCTGTGTCTCGAATACGAATGCTGGTGTAGTCTTAACCACTCATCCATCCAGCCGACTAACCAATTGAAAATTGCGCTTGCTTTTAATGGAATTCTCTTATCAAACCGTACATTATAGGTGCCGCAAGAGAAGAGTTTCTAAATCTACGATGAGGCGCAGAATACAGATATCATATTTGTCACATGTGTTGTTCCTTTTATTTATCTCTTATCGTGTTATTGTCATTGTAACTGCTAACACACTAACAGAACTGAGTTGGTTAGATATGGATGTGTGGTGGGACATTGGAAATTGCGACATGCTCGCACGTCGGGCATGTATTCCGTAAGTCAACCCCGTATACCTTCCCGGGCGGTACCAGCAAGATAGTCAACCACAACAATGCGCGGCTCGCAGAAGTTTGGTTGGACCAATGGAAGTACTTCTATTACAACATTAATCCAGGTAGCACTAACACTGGCGTATCTCACACACGAAAACCAAAAAGAAAATCTATGGATCTATCGCTGGATTCTGTGTGCCTCTTTTGACGCATTGGTTGCTTTGCAATACAGCATGCTTTGGGAGCTCTGCACGTCTATCGATTAGTTTTGCTATTAGTTCATGGCTTCAGGTGCTCACTATGTCTCTATCAGATACCCGTTAACATTTATTTAAAATATCATCGCTATTACGTTTTCTCGATATTGTAATGTTGTGTTATATGTAATCTAATAATTTGATGCAATGATCCATCGAACAATGATAGATACAATGTAGAATAGACGAGAACGACATTGCAAATAAGATATTTAGAGGTATACTTGGAGAGTAAAAAATAAGTTACGCATGACATTAAAGGCTCTTTGTGATACTATTACAATCGAAAGGTTGCTATTAAAGGGAGATATTCTATTAGCGACAGATATACAAGTAATACTTGTACGATGCATATATTTATAATAGTCTTCTAATTGACTATATATATATATACAATTATTCAAATACAAAACAATTTTAATGAAGCACAATATATCTTTGCACGCTGTGAATTGACAGATGTATAAAACAGTTCTCATGTATGTGTATATATAAATCAATTGCTACTTCGTAAACTTTTTTATATACTTTTCAGATTTCCAGAAAAAAAGCGTTAAATAATTGCAATGCACAATTATTATTTTAGGAGCAAGCATATGGCATTAATGTATTATACAATATACCATGATCGCAAATCTCTTTATTTTAGCACAAAATTCTCTGACAAAATTTCTTTTCAACCAATTTGCAAGCACAAATATGTAAAAAATATATGTGAATAAGTTCTTTATAAGATATCGTAGCGTATAGAAAGTCATCTTTTTTAGGGGCGCGAAACGTCGACGTCGGCGATGTTTCTGAAAGGATAAAACTCAGAGAACGACTGAAGTGCAAAAGCTTCAGATGGTACTTGGAGAACATATACCCAGAATCACCAATGCCACTAGATTATTATTATCTCGGCGACGTGAAAAATGTTGAAACGCAAACTTGTTTAGATACTATGGGCAGAAGAACCGGGGAAAACGTTGGAATTAGTTATTGTCATGGATTAGGTGGTAATCAGGTTTGTATTTATTATATGATACTGAAATAATACGTTTTCATGAAAATAAAGAAATAATTGTTTCTACTTTGAACATTCGTTGTTTCTTACAAAAGCTATATTATCCAGGTGTTTGCTTATACTAAGCGGCAACAGATAATGTCTGATGATATGTGCCTTGATGCAGCTAGTCCACAAGGTCCAGTAAAGATCGTGCGATGTCATGGTATGGGTGGTAATCAAGCATGGGTTTATAACGACGAGGTAAAAAACATATGTAGATGTTAAGAAATAAAATTATGAAAAAATCTAATTCAATATGCATATAATCGATATTGATACACGTTATTTCTTTCAGACCAAAATGATTAGACATACAAATACAGGTCACTGTTTGTCTAAACCTCACTCGGGTGACGCGTCGCAACCTGTTTTGTCACAGTGTGATGTAAACAAAATCGGCCAGAAATGGATCATGCGTAGCAAATTCAAATGGCAGGCCAGCTAATACGAATTAACTTTAAATGCCAGATATATACGCAATATTTGTTAATATGTTTAATAAATGGTAACCTATGGACTGATCGTAAAGGACTTCCCAAGTGCAAGAAGATAGAATGAAACATTACAATCAGTGGCGAAAAGACGATTCGGTATTCCATCTAATGTGTACGCCGAACGAATCGTCAGTGCGCGAGAAGTCGACTCTCTTTGAAATCGCGTCGGAGATCGTAGTTAAATAATTAGATTCAACTGAATTTATTTATCATTGATAAAGCAGTATCAAGAATTTACTGCCATTCCTTATGGTACAGTCCTTACGATACGCTTTGATCAATGTACACAACAGTGACAGGGATGAATTTCTCTGAACGCGTGTGAACACAAGTGATACTAAAATGACGAACAGAGTGAACTCTTTTTCTTCTTTTCTAGCCAGGAAGCAGTAAAGAAGAAAGCATATCAGACCACTGTTATAAATAATTGTTAATAAAAAGAAAAAGAGACATATTTGATAATTTCGAATGAGTGCAATGACGGATGACTGACCATTAAATCGGTGCGCAACGAAATGAAATGTGAATATTATTAGAAATACGTCGCGAAATAATGACGGAGTGAATGCTGGAATGTTAGTGAAGTTGATGTGACGCTCTACCGATAATAATATAGAACAATTATTGTACAATCCATTTAATAACTAAGGGAAGAGCACTGGATCTTTTTATATTCATGTTTCTAATAGTTCCTCGTTGCATCTCGTTCGTATAATTTAACTGTTACGCGCCGTTTCGTGCAAAGGATGTACTTATCAGAACTTATAACTATAGAATTCATCAGGTTTTAGTTAGATGCATACAATTATTAACTCTCTTTTATTACGGAGACATAATGCAATTTTAATGCGAAACGTACCAGAGTGTCTTCCATATTTTAATGATAGCAGACGAATATTTTTCTGGCATAATCAGCCATTGCGCACATTTGCGAGTTACTTGTTAATTATTTTCTTGAAACATTAAAAAATAAGTTATTTCGAAGATAACAATTTTTAATATGGCTAATTTTAAAGCGCAATCACTCAGATTAAGTGCTGAATTTTATTAAAACATTAAAGATAAATTATATTTGCTTATGTAGAAATTAATTGAGTAAAATCTGTTTTTTATTCGTTTTTGACATTTTCGTCTCTTCGACATCATAATTTTATCCTTTGAATATAAATTACGAAAATTACATCTTTTGCTCGTAAAAATCTGCTATTGAAAATAAGAAACTTTTATAAGTTTATTGAAATAACTTCCGATACAGCTTTAAGATCTTCTCTATCTGTATTTGTTATTGAATGACGAATATACTCATTATTCTTATGTAATCTGAAAGAATGTTATGGTGACGGTGCAACGTTAATAGCTTGATACATTTGTCTTCTAAGACTGGTATTTATTTTTGTATAGAGAATACAAATTGACTTATATGTTGAAACAAATGATGTGTCAGTCCACTTTATAGATGAATGATAAAATGATCACAATCGAAAAACGATAGTCAATAATACTTTCTTGCAAATATGTCATTCCTTACAGGCTGATTTGAAGAATGCTATTATTAATGAATAAAAATTGCTGAACGATTTCCATTTTAATCATTTGCTCAACGAATAATAATGTCTCTAGCTTCACGGTTCAATCGATTATGATGATATGAAAGAACAACTTCAATTATTATAATAGCCTGAACTGCGTGAGCATGATCTTTTGAAGACAATAAAATTATTTGTACATTATTAAGTTTATGTAATGCATGTCTCTATAATACTAGTATAATTTAAAAAGTTTTTAAAATAGATAAAATTTATAAAAATGAATGTGTATGCACATTAATGATATTTAAATCAACTTTTTCTCTTTTTTCAATGTAATTAAGTTTGACTTGAAAAGAATCTTCTTAAAAAAAGTAATTTATTTATAGTTGTTCAAATTGTACCATATAAGTACTCTATAAAATCTTATAAAATAATTATGATCGGTATAATTGCATCTTGTTAGAATAAATAATAAGTTTCGTTACATATATGTGAAATGTTGGTATCATTATTTTAATACTCATGATTCCTCATGAATAAATGCAAAAACTCGAATTTTATTACCATACTTATATTTTTCCTAATACTTGTTAAAGTAGTATCTTTTTTTGCAATGAAATAACTTCCATTACTTTGTTACCTAATTGTAATAAATGAAGAACAAAGAACTATAATAAAGTATGGTGCAAAAATAATCTATGTATATGAATATGTAATGTTAATTAAAAAAATTAAAGTATTGATATTTAATAGAAACAATATTAATTAGTTAAATGCATTCAATTTAACAAAATATACCTATAATTTTGTCATGGTTATTCAAAACAATCAAAATGGTTTGCACTAAATAAGATCACAATATAAATTTTTGAAAAGATATTTATTACATACACTTATTGTTCTTTAACTTCACGTAATCGACGCACTGCTGATCTTACTGACGCGGCAGCCGTTGTGGAATATACCCACGCACCACCGGCAACCGTCCTCTTGCATCGTTTGCACGACCAAATCCCAACAACGCTACGTTTCATTGCTTCCTGTTGAAAAATAGAAACAGTAGTTTAATAGATAATTTAATAATTTCCCTTAAACATTTTATCTATATTGTTGAATTATTAAATAATATCCATGAAAGATTTAATACTTTTATAATAAAATGTACAGTAAGAAAACTTTTATATCAAGATCTGAATTGTGTAAAAGCATCAATAAGTATCAAATTTTCAGCTTGCAATACAATAAAGTACGAAAATTACTCACCTTGCCGCAAAATGAACACGTATATCTGCTATGTTGGGTAATTTCCATCTTTTTTACCATTTTCCTAAGGGAGGCACCATAACGGGTGCCATATTTACCGGTGATTCCAACCTTCTTCGTGCGCTTAGCCTATTAAAATTTCAATAATCTTAAAACTGCACTATGTAACTCCGACAATATTTAGAAAATTAAAAATACGCGATCAAATACAAAGGAATGCTTTCAAAACATAACCTCGCTGTAGGATTAGATTTCCCATAGTCACGCGTACTTATAACCTTTTCATAATATTTTGTGATAAAATATGTATACGAAGAGTTTTTCAAAAACAATCATTCTTATCCGGCAATTAATATTATGTGTATTTCAGTAAGATTTAATGGATAATGTTCGATAAAACATCTTACCATTTTGATCGGGAGAGTAACACCACCGTAAGAAGACCGAAAAACGTGTGTGACCTCGCACTGTCTCGAGCAACGTCGGAAGTTAGTCGAGAGGAAATGGATTTCACGCAGCTGAATTCAAATTTACGCGGGAAAAAACTAAATAAAAGAGTAAACTTACTTATTTAATTAATAAAAATATTTCTATTACTTTTGGGCATTTTTTTACGATGGAGATTATTCCATTATTTTTTTTCTAAAGATATCGTGTGTATATTTCCAAAAATATATAGAATAATAGTATTAAGTATGCAATTATAATAAAAAAAAATAGCAAATATTACGTAAGATTAAAAATTATATATAATTAAATGTATATATTAAAAATTGTACACATAATTTTTCAATATAAATAAGACACATTTATTTTATTTTAGAATTGCTTTTTTTTAATTTAGAACAAAATATGAATTTCTGAAACGAAAATGTAAGAGAAGTTTATAAAATAATACTTTTAATTTAGATTGAAATAAAAATTTAATCCTTCAGTTTTTAGCTATATTTTTGCTTCGTACATATCTTGGTGAAATTACATGGCTTTTATAAACTAATACAGAAAGGCAGATTACATTATATACTCGAGATATACTGGACAGTAAAGGATTAAATGGGATTACGGACATATGTTTGCACATATGAAAGAAATAATATTTGCTAACTCGATTTTATTCAAACCAATGTTGACCAACACGTCGGATTATCGATGAGTTACCTAACACAGGAACGTATATGCAAACGTATTGTGAGGGCATAGCTTTAAGTAACGAATTTTCGTATCTTGAATCTGTAATGTATTTACTTTCAAGAATTTCACCTATGTTTCGACAGCCCGTCTTCGGTATCGAAATTCGGCGGCCATTTCAAAAAATATCCCGACTTCAATTTTCAAATCTTTGACGAATCAGTCAGTTAAGTTACATAATCCAATTAGTAATGAAGCAGTTTATAGTTCACGTCATCACACGTAGCTCCCCGTTGCATCTAAACAAACGTCATCGTTCGCTTTTTTTAACAAATTTCCAAAAATACGCGTCGATTATGTAAGGTCGTTGTAAAACGTGTGTTACATAATCGAGAGGCGTCGAGGAGGAAGCGGCGCGTTTCGAAAAGCGCCACATTATATATTTTCCCAAAAATTCTCACAACGTATTTTTTTCTCCCCCTTTTTTTTTTTTTTTTCAATTCAATTCAATTCAAACGTAATTCGCGGGGCAATGGTTCGTTCCATCCCTGGCACAAGGGAGAAAGAGGAACTGGCCCGTGGTATGACGTAGACCAGATCAGGCACAGCCCGGAGTTAGAGCGGCCGGCGGCTCCGCTTCCCTTCGCCCGACCGAGAGACCGGGTGCGTCACGCGTGTCAGCGTGCGAGCGGCTAATAGCGGAATCACCGTCGGCGCGAGCGAGCGAGCGAGCAAACGGCCGAGCGTGCGAGCGAGCGAGCGAGCGATCGGTCGGTCGGTGTTAGTGGTCGGCCGACTCGGCCGCCCAACCGTTGCCCCGCGGCTGTTTCCCGTACGGTGTGTACGACGTCCGGTGCGCCGCCTCCTAATCGGAGCGGAGCGTAGCGCAGCAAACGCAGCGCGGTCGAGCGAGCGTATACAGCGGCCAGCGAGGGGAGCGTGGAGCCGTGCGTCGTCGAGTAGTCGAGTAGTCCACAGTCGGTGGTGGTCGTGGTGCATACACACACAGCCAGCGCGATGGTCGTCAAGATCTACGTATCGGGTATCAGCGGCAACAAGGAAGTGAGTGCGAGCCCTCACGGATCCTCGGCGACGATCGGCCGCCGGGCTCCGGTGTATCGCGATACTCGGGACGTACCACCGCGCGCGCCAGACAGTTGTCGTCGTCGTCATCGTCGCCGTCGTCGTCGTTGTCGTTGTATCAGGTTACAATATGAACGGCACGCACTAGCCGCCCCGGGGGGGGCCGCCGGAAATTATCCGGGAGCTGTCACTCGCGACGTGACGCGCGCATACTGCGTGTTTTCTGATCGGTTACTACGTTGTCTCGCTCTTTCCGACGATGGGCGTATCGTGATGTCATGCCAGTCTTCCAGCTGGTTATTATGAGTCTTGTCTGGGTCTGTTTGTTTGGATCCAACCGGGAGCAATAACGATGATCGAATTTGTCACGCTTATTCTAACTTGATAGCGAAAATGTCCCGTTACCGATGAGCTGAACTTGTTCTACATGATTTATACTACATGATCTCTCGATTCTTATTGTTAGTCTTTTAAATATACTTCAAGTACTTTTGTTTGGAACTATTGATACGATATCATCGCTGGGAACTATTGTACTATCACTGTGGTAGTTATCGCCATTGATATTTTGCAGCTATCAGTAGATAAATGTCAATTTTATTATTATTAAAATATAAAAGCAAAATAGAATTGTTGCAATGAATTCTATTATGTATAAATTTTTCCCATATACTATATGCAATTCTGGGTTTAAAGAAAATAAGCTGTAAAGTGCAAAACTTATTTATTACAAAATTTACATTTAACATTAACTTCTGCTTTCTTTAATATCTATGATGAATAAACAAAAAGATTTATTGCAAACTCAAATAGTCGCACACATAAATTGAAAAAATTCGAAGAGTTTTAACTACGTGTGTAAACATGTTACAGGTGAAGAAAAGACAACAACGAGTGATGATGATTCTAGATAGTAAAAATGTAGAATACGAGAGCATCGATATAACAGAACCAGGCAAAGAATTAGAGAAAGAATTCATGCAAGCTAACAGTAATGCCAGGAACAACAAGTATCCGTTGCCACCACAGATATTTAATGAAGATGATTATTGCGGCGTAATTATCTTTTCTTTTTGTGCCATATTTATATTTTATTTCTATTATATTTTATTTTAATACAATCAAATTGTATTAATTTTATTTAAAATATATTGCGTGTATATGGACAAATAATTGAGGAATGTTTAAGGATACGTTTTTTATAAATAACATTAATTATCAAGTCGTTAAATTTTGTAGGATTACGAAGATTTTGATTTAGCAAATGAAATGGATGAGCTGGAAAAGTTTCTAAAGGTGACACCAGCGGTCAGTACCGCGGAAATCACTCTCGATTCAAAGTCTCAAAGCGATGAAATCCAAGAGAATGGAAATACTTCAAGTCGAGAGGTAATTCCTTAAATTATGGCACTGCAACTTGAAAAAGCTTTGTTTTTACTATATATATATATATATATATAGAGAGAGAGAGAGAGAGAGAGAGAGAGAGAAGAAAGTAACGTTAAAGTAATTACTACTATATATATAATATATATATATAATATATATATATATATATAGAGCTTCCTTATGAGAAAGAATTTCATCACATCAAAATAAAAATAGCAACTATAGCTTACTATAGTCACACTTATTGTGCAGCACATGTGACGAATCATTTCTATATTTATTTACTTGATTACTTCTCAAAAAAGAAAAACTAATGTATAAGTTAATAGTTATATTCTGCTATTTAATAATTTAAGATATGTAAAATGATTTTAATTATTCTTTATTCATTTTTATTCGTTAGCCTAACGACTTTATTATTTAATGGATCTATTTTGTATTTTTTAATGATGATTAAATTTTAAGTTATAGCTTTTAACGATTACAATCTGTTTTTTTCAGCCTTCTGCAGACAAAGAAGCAGATGTAGTACTTTCTGAAAGGTAATTAATATATTGTAATAACAAATGGATCAACATCGGAATATATTAAAAATACATATAAATTATATCTTGATTAAAAATATTGAATTAATAAACTTATAACGTGCTCTAGTTTACCAAAAAGGACAACTCTAGAAAGCGAGACTAAAGCGTTAGACGACTCTAAACCAACCGAAGTAGATAGCGCAGAAAAAGTTATCGCTATCGACGAAGGTGAACACGCAGAAGATAGTGGCGATAAAAACGAAGAGAAGTCTGACGATCAAGAGAAAGAAGAATAGATATGAAATATGCCCATGTAAAATTGGGATATTCCACACAATGACATCCTTCCTTTTCCACCCACAAACGTATTTTGCAAAGCTACGTTTATTACATTACTAAGGCTGAATGAAGGTACTGCCAAGATAATATTCTGCATTGCGGAAAGTCTGTTGAATGAACAGTATAAATGGCGCATGAAACATTCTTTTATAGAATATACTTTGTATTTTTAGATCAAACGCGTCTTCACCAATGTTTCGCAACAGGTCTGATTAGGTGATATGAGACAATTTCATATCGCTATCTTTACATCCTCGTTTGTTTATTATTTTTGCATTGTGTGTGTTTCGCACCGCATCAAATCCAATACGTTATAGCACACCCTCGATAATGGAACTAAAGTATAGTGTATTTTTCGTTTACACGTGCAACTTTATTTGGTTATTTCATTAGCGCGTGCAAAGCGTACAAAAGTAAATGTAAGATACAGCAACATATACATATACACAATATCATTTGAGACATATGTAAACAAATATATATAAACAGATATAGATATTATATATATGTATTATAAGTAATTTTTTTATTTTTAGAGAGATATAACTGATTTGTTGTACACACATGAGAAAAAAATTTTTGATATTTATATTATTTTTTTAATCGAACAGTATTAATGATAGGTTTGGCTTGTTATTTAAAAAATTTTTATTTGAACATTTCATTTTTTGCGTTAAGATACTCAAACAGTCTTTCCAAATATGCTATAAGAAATCATTAATTTCTTGAGCTTATATATTAAATATATTAGAATTAGTTAATAGAGGAAAGAGCAAAAGAAAAGAGATATCTAGATTTTTATAACTGAATTATGAGTACTTTTTTTATGGTATAAATTTCCATTTTCTACTTAGGACAAAATTGTGTATGACTCATACTGGCGTGACATGATTTCATTGATATGTGTGTATATGACTCATGCTTATTCAACATCAGCTACGGCCATTAGAATCTTTGTATCTAAATTAACTGATTAAAACGCAATATTTAAAAATATTCTATTTCCAAAAACAAAAAATTTGGCTTATAACAGTAAATTATACTGTAACAATATAAAAACTAAAACAAAAGAGAGAGAGAATTTCTTACAACAGCTACTATTATAACAGAAAACAATAAATTCCTTAACATACGGAATAACAAGTAATGAACAAAAAAAGATATGCATAAAATTAATGTTTATATATTAATATTCTAAAGTAACTGATTCAAATTAATATGTTCTAAAGTAACAATACACAATAATAGTAGTAGTTGTAACGATCGAGAGGCCTATGTGAATTATTGTTTCTCTTATTATTTTTAGTCATTTTCTTCCTATGCTCAGCGAGATTATTATCTTGCATAAATCTTTTATTGCTTATCTATTATTCAAATGATACCTCTATCATAAAAAGATTAAGCTTTACCCAGCATTTGCTACAAGTTGCTTTGTTATAAATAAATAAATGAAATAAAAAATTATTTTTGCTATTATAATTCTATTCTTCAACATGATATATCAAATCTTATTAGCGT